TATAAGGGAACTAATGTCTGATAAGGTTATGGCCATTGACTTTGTTAATTCTAAAGACAACTTCGCTGATCCTTTGACTAAAGGACTTGGTCTATCTTTAGTCCAAAAATCTAGGTTAGGTATGGGACTGAATAACCCATAAGAGATACATCTGCAGTAGCAACCCAACCTTCTAAGTGGAGATCCCACAAGGAAGATTCAACTTGGTATAAACAAGCTGTTGAATGTATCAGTGTGCACCTAAAATTACTAGACTAATATTTTATATTGAAAGTCCAAGTTCTTTCCCAAGCATACCTGGAAGGTGCTGTTAACTGCAAGTATAGTAAGAGTTTATCTCTGAATGGGGTCGAGTTTTCGAAACAAGATGTAAGCAGTGCATCTTTGGAGATGCCCAACTAAATGAGTATAGTTGTTTGGCCGCGACTAGGGGAAAGAGTTATTCCTTGAAGATACTCATGAAACAGAATCGTGACATATGACCTTAATGTGTCAACCCTAAAGATCAAAACATAACCTATAAGTTGTTGTTACTAATGAACGTCCTTAGACTCATGACATGAATTTAAGGCTTAGATCCATTCATTTCGGTGATGACAGAAGTTGAATAACTTAGGTAGTGGTTCAAACCGGAAGGTACCATTACTGAAAGCAATTTATGATGACCTTGATAATTATTATCTAAGGATTTGTGGGGGATTGTTGTAATAAATATTACATGTGAAAAGAGAATTGTGTTATGTGGGAATCCTTAGATAAAATGGGTGCGTTTACTGTTACATGTGGAAATGTCCAAATTCATTGTGGGGAAAACTTAATCGTGTTCGGTTTTGAGATGTGAGAATGAAACTCAAAGTTCCATTACTTTTTTCTTAATGAAGGCATTAAGACATCTCCTCTTCATTGAATGCATGCTTGTCTTAAAAGCACTATAAAAAGTGCTTGCAAGCTTACGGTAAGGACACACCAACCAGCTGAAGGAAAAGAAAAGGAACATCTACATATTCTCTTTCATCCTTTACAAGTCTAAGAAAAATTAAGGGTTTTTGGCGACTGAGATTTTGATCGAGGTGAGTGTGTTATATAGTGCAGTCTTCACACTTTGAGCCGTCTTATCCTGGGAGAAAAGGCGTAGTACTCGTTGCACAGTATCGGGGCGTCTGTTTCTTCAAGGCAAACAGATTTTTTGTGATTTGGCTATATGTGTTCTATGACAATATAGAACTGTCAGTTATGTTTTTTTATTTTTATAATAAATTTATTTATTTACTAATAGAAATATGGTTTCATCTCACGTTCCCGTGGTTGATGTTTGTGGTTTCTATTTACAAATTCTTAATACGTATATGTGTTGAAACTCGTTTTCAATCCGCCGTTTATAATTAATTTTTTTAAAACAGATAGTTGCGACCTGAGGGCATAACTTCAACAAAATCGTAAGTTGCTAGTTGGAAAAGGACCCGTGTTTGTGCGTTTTTGTTGTTTCGCTTGCCTCTTTTTTTTAATCTAAATGTTTTTCTCTGTTATTTTGAATTTATAATATTTTTTATGAATGTAAATAATTTTGAGAGTATATTGTTCACTAAAAATGTTTGCTTTACGGTCAGTTAACAGCCGGGTTGTAAAGTTGATACCATTTCGGTTGTTTGGGTAGTGAAACTGTATGTGCGTAAATTTTGTGTAGTGAATGTGCAATAAGCACATACTTTGGGCATGAAATGTAAAAATTACCCTTTTTCCACCAAAACATATTCAAAGAACCAATTCTCATCACTCATCAGTTTAGAGTGGAATTGTGGGGGGATTTCAATAGGTGCTAACGTTTTTTACTTTATTTTTTACCTTCTTTATTTTCCTGACTTTCTTGCAACCAATAGAGATCAATTAACTTTGGGG